AAAATAAAACTGACAAAAAAGGCACCAAGCCACTACAGAGACTCCTAACAACAATAAAGTGGTGTAAAAAAACAAAAACAAAAAAACCGAGACAAATACTCACAAACAAAGAGCCAAAGAATTAAGAATGCCACCAGTAAACACAAATGGGCACAAATATTTAAAAAAAAAATGCTAATATAAACCTCATAAATAGATAAAAAGCAACTACAAAAAAGTCAGAGACGAATAGATAATATGAGAATATAGATATGTAAAACAACACTAAAGTGGATCAAAAAGATCACTGAGAGGCATAAAACAGCTGCCAATACACAGTCAACTACTACAGAGACTTCTAAAAATCAAGAAGAGATGTACAACAAGTACAAAGGGCTCAAAAGAGTCTTACAAGAACAACAGAGAGACATTAAATAACCATAAGTAGACACAAAATGGCTGTAAATACACAAAACAGTTGCATAACAACAAACACTTTGAGAGCACAACCCTCCGGAAAGGCAGCTTCCTCTCCAGGCAGTATTTAATTTTAAAGGAATAGTATTTTTTGTACATATTCTTTTTGTTTTCTTTGTTCTTGTAATTTGTACATTAAGAAGTTATTTCATTTTCGAGTCACCTTGAACGAAAGGCGAATGTTAAATGTAGGCAGGAGAATTTTAAGCATAGTTTAAAATAAAAAAAAAAGAAGGCATTTTACGGAAGTTTGACCTTATTTGATCATGAAGAATGGGTCAGAGATCCAAAGTAACGTGATATTTAGAATATTCATATATCATCAGAAATATAGTTTTAAATAGCTGTCTACATAGCATTATTATCATTCCTAGTACAGCCAGCTATGGTGTTAAACCTAAGTCATAATGCCATCCAAAGGTAAACAGGTAGTAGCACTTGCAAAAAAAAAAACTGAGGGAAAAATCTCACAAATTAAGTTTTGTAGTTAATAGTCTAGATTTCTATATTTTATATTAATTTATTCAGTGGAAACACTAAACAATCACGATTCAGTTCAACAGGTGTTGTTGAGTTGAGAGCTAAGACCAGTGAAAGGCAGGGTGGCAGGAGAACAGCGTTTGTCCTCATGGTTGTATTTAAATACAGTATAGTTGATGTTTCCTGAGAAATTTCTGTTTGTCAGGAATTAAGTTAGCATGTGTGTTCACATGGTGAAAAAATATTTCAGTGAAATTCATATTTATCAACTTTTTGTGCAAGAGCTCCCTTTTACCTGTGGGTACAATGGGTTACTCATTAGTTTTAATTATGATGCATAATTAAAACACTGTTTAAATTTTAACAGTGTTGACAAAAAATTAACTACAGTGTTTATGAGTGTATAGTTGTGTGAAACAGAAAATCTTCATAGGATTCTGTGCAGTCCTGTGTAAAACTAAGACCACTCATGATTCAGTAGCTCGTATAACCACATTTAGCAGCAATACCTTAATGTAATCATTTGTTGTATGGTTTTATCAGTGTCTCACTTTGTTGTGGAGGAATTTGAGCCCACTTTTCTTTACAGAGTTGCTTTTGTTCATTGTGGTTTACAGGCATTCGTATTTACACAGCTCTCTCGAGGTCCCACCATAGCATTTCAGTCAGGTTCAGTCAGCATCTCAGCACCTTGATTCTTTTCTTTTTCCACCATTCTGATGGGGGGAAAATCCATTCCATTTACCAAAAGCTTTAGCTGTTGGACAGATGGCTTCACATCTGAGTCTAGAATACTTTGGTATACAAAGGCGTTCATGGTTTGCTCAATGACTGCAAGATGCCCAGTTCCTGCTGCTGAAAAACAAGCTCAAACTTCACCCCTCCACCACTTGGTATGATGTGTTTCTGCTGATATGCTGTGTTTGGTTTTCAGATGCATAGATTTCATCTGAACAGACTTGTGGTTTGTTCAGATTATCCAAACAAGATTTACTTGTTTAGTCATTTTCTAATTGTACTGTCAAGAATTTGTTTGACGTTGGGGTGGATTTTCTTGAATGTTAACTTTTGGGAAGATTGTGGCCTTGTATTAATACACACCTAAATGGTCCAGACAAGTAAACCAATAATATTAGTTAAAAGAAACTCTCAGATTGCAAACAGTTTCTAACTTTTAAGTTTTGGGGTGTTTTTTGTGGTCAATTTTCAACCACTAAATCATTAAATTAACCTAGAAGACCTTGGTGGATGTAAGCCAAATTTTAATGGTTTGTTAATATGATCCCATTCTACATCATTGCAAAGTTTTTTCAACATTGAAAACTTTTCGAGCTATTGTGTTTACAGACATAATTACACACACGCAAACGCTATGAAAACATAACCTCCTGGGCGGAGACAATAGTGTGATACGTTATGATAATATAATGTGTAAACAGCATTGTAATGTTGAAACTGACTGTCTTATCCAATTACTTACTTATACTGGGCTAATAATGAATCATAATTGTTACATTTCCTTGTTATACATGTTTTTGAATCTGTAATAAATCTGTAATAAATATAACATAATCTGGATGACTGTGATCATAATAATAGTAATAGTAATGATAATAGCCAGCATCAGTAAAGAGGTGGGACGTAATGAAGTACAAATACTTCTTTATTGCACTTAAAGAACATTTTTCACATGTATGTACTTGAGGGTTTTTTATATATATATATATTTTGGTTACTCCCCACATTTTCACACAAATATTTGTTACTTTAGGTATAAGGTATTTGAGGGGAGTTGATATAAACAGTAATACAGGAAAGGCAATCCTAATAGTGTATCAATCACCAGGGGTTGTCGCCACTGTTCCCTCTAGGCTGAGCACGTGAGCAATCGCCCACTGCTGACACAGTCTCCGCGCACAGAAAATTAGCTAAATAAAATAAATACATGTATTTACTTTAATTCCAATTCCAGATTTTCTGTGTGGGGAGACCTGTCAGCAGTGCACGATTGCTCACGCGCTCAGCTTAGAGGGAACATTGGTTGTCGCGTAAAAAGAGATTTAAGATGCAAAACCATGCAAGTTGTGCATAATTTGTAGTGCTATGGTCAGGGGTTGAAGTTCCTTGGTGGCCTCTTTTTTTTGGTGCAACACAGGAATAAGTACAGATGTCCATAAACTGTGGTCGCAGTACTTTGGCACCTAGATAGCTACAGAAGAGGAGCGAGCATTAAGGCAGTAACTTTTTTTTTAAGGCGTAGGTAATTCTAAATGCTCAACAAATATCAGTAAACACACAATCTGCTGGTCTCACACTGCCTGCTAGCTAAAGGACCAGCTGGTGTATTTCACAGGGGAGAGAAAAGAAAGAAAGGTAACTTTACTTAGAGATGGAAAAAGATAAGAAAGACAGGAGAGGAAGAAAGTAGGTTATATAAAAGTTAAAATCTGCTCAGGGAGGACTTTGATAACCTGAAGGTGTAAAGTTTACTGAAGGTCAGTGTAGGATAAACAGGTTAGTTTGCTGTACTGTGGTGGATTTAAAGCAAGGAAGAGCGTGTTGGACTGGTGCACAGCAGTTGTGTTGTTCCTGGTCAGAGACAGATTGCATAAAGTGTGGCAGAGAGATCAATATGAATTGAAGCTGATATTGCTTAGATTCATACAAACTTTATACCATCTAGTATAACGTCTAGTATAAAAGTATACTGAAAGTGTAGAGGACAGCTAATGAAACACATGCTTACATCTTCTTTAATTCCATTGTGTAAATCCACAAAGAGCAGTGTAAGGAAGAGGACTCCCTTACTATTATTTATATTATAATTTGTGTAGCACTTTAGGAGCACCTTATCTAGCACTTTATTTAGCATCGTACTTTAAGCATAGATTTGCAGAGGAAGAACATTTGCACACGAAGTTTAATTATTTATTGAATATTTATTGTGTATTTTAAAATCAGTTGGTAGAATTTGTTCCAGGTCCTGCACAGCTGCTCCTCATCAAGAAATGTGGTGGTTGTCTGTGAAAAGGAAAGGTTGTGATTGAGAGCAAATAAGGTTTACCAGTAAGGATAACTAATGCAAGTGTGTGTAAAATCTAGAAATAAAGGTGGTGCAAAGAAGTGACTTTAAGACGCGATTACTCACCTTTCTTTCTTGTGTCCTGTTCAGGGTGTTTGGGCAAATGTTTCCTTGGGGGTCCAGACACCATTTAAAGGTTCTGGGAGAGGCCATGGGTTAAGAGAGTGTGGTGTTTTTATAATAATGGGTATGGTGTAAGGATAAAGTGTAAAATATGTATTCATATGAAAATGAAAAATGTATTTAGATATTTATTTATTGGAGTTGATTTATTGTATAATGTGGTGGAAGGTTGGGTTTGAGAACTCACCTGTTAATAGAATAATGGTTTAGCCTGCGACAGCTGAAAGTACTTAAGGCTGCTAGTTGCCATTAGATGGGTGGACTGTTTGGTGAGGAGAGCTATCTGATACTAAAGCTCACAATCAAGCTCACAATCAAAACTATTGTGAGCTTTGAGTCTTTTCTCCACATTGAGCCACTACAACCAATTTAAGGGTTCCTCCACCTGATGAATCCACTTTAACCTTTGACTGTACTCATTTTCCCTTTTTAGGTGTGGCATTAAAGTTACTCTCTACGATGTAGACAACAGAAAATAGAGCTACTTTAAAAAATGCACTCTTTTTTTCTTTGCTCATGTTCCACATAATTGATTCAAGCTATATAGATTCAATAGAATTAAAATTTAGACTGAAATACTTAAAGCTCTTGGTAATATGGTCATGTAGCAGATACTTGTAACATTATTTCAAAGGTGGATACAAGCATCAGTTTGTGCATTTTGTCCATCTGATGCCACTAGCTTGAAAAAGACCATCAGTCACTTGTCAGCAGCTTCTTGTTCTGAGGCAATAGTGCTAACCACTGCACTCCCTAGAATATGAAGTTATCTTCTGCACTATTATGTGTTATTTCTTGCTTTTGGTTGTTGTGTTAATAAGCAAAACTGAGGCTAAAGAAATAGACAAAGACAAGAGAATTGTGTATGAAAACATTTATTAGAGGCTAATAAGAGATCACATGTATTAACTATTACAGTGTGAAAACAGATGACCCCACTTTTAATTAGCTTTTTTTTTGTTTCTGATGTCAGAACAGAGTGATCTGTCATACATCCAAAATACAAAGGAAACCAGTTATGTTGATAAATAAAAAGGTAACCCTAAAAGTCCTACACCTTTTGTCTTTTTGGCAAAGTGCAGTATTATTCCAGTAAACTACACAGAAAAGCAAAAAATGACAAAACAAAACAAACAAAAACCCAAAAAGTCTAACACTTAGTGGAAAAATGCCATAAAATATTCTTCACACTTACAAATAAAACAATAGGAGAAAAAAAGAGGTTTTGCTACATCATTCTGTCTGGTTTGTCGAGTCATTATAAAAGCTGTACAAGGGCTGGGCGGATGGTGGTGGCGAGAGCATATGAGCTTCCTCGAATGATGCATAGTTGGTTTCTGATGTTTGTCTGTGTGTTTTAATTTATTATTACGTCCACTTAAAAAGTTAAACAAAAAGAAAAACGAGTTCAAGTTCTTCATTGATGCATTGTCATCATAACATTTCAACCTGGAAGGCACGTGATCCACAAATTTCAAGGCATTGAACAAAAAGCATTACAAATCCCTGTTAGATTAATGATGGAGAGATGAGCCGAGAACAAAGAACTAAGAACTAAGAACTAAGAAAAAAACCAAAAGAACAAAAAAAACAAATAAATCGTTTAAGGCTCCTGACAGCAGGAGGAACCTCCGATCCCTTCTGTCTTTAAGTTTCTCTTTTTCAAAAAATCAAATGACACAAAATAACATCGTTCGTAATTGCAAAACTCACTGCAGAGAGAGAGACATTAGAGAAAGGACAAGAAAAAAAAAGCTTGAAAACACAAGAGATCCACTCTACTACCGTTTACGATTATTTACAGTAAATAACAAAAATGCCTTACAGGGCTTTGTTAACAACGCTACCTTCCCAGAAACTCTACTAGAGACATTCAGTCAGGTTTACAAGGCGATTAGAAGACCACACTGCAACAGTTTCCATTAAAAGTGACTGAATCTTTTTTCCTCCATAATATGTGTTCGTTCCACGATGCATCTCCGTATCTTCAGAACAGGATCGGTTTCCAAAAAATCATCGTTAGGCAGATTTACAGTTTAGTAGATTTCTGTTGATGTGTGTAAGGAAATGAATTTTTTTTTTTAAGTTGATAAATAAGCAAAATGTGAAGTTATATGTAGAGTCCTTCACCTGTTCTAAAATTATTTACGAACACAAAAATGGTTGCCGAAAAAAATGAAACATTTTGGAACAAATTTTCAGTTATAAAAAGTCACAGACTGAGTCAAATTTTCTGTTTAACATCAGACAAATATACATGCTCCAGAACTTTACTTTAAACCTGTTTACCCTATATATATTTAAATAGTCTTTTTTTTTGGCAGAAATGGTCTTCCAAAGGTTTTAGTCACTCTATAAGGTTGGTTATTTCTCAACTTTTGCAGTGTGGTGACTCGGCCTGGGCTCCGCTTATCCCTACAGCAGACACATTAAACCATTAAACAGTCTACCATTTTAGAGCACCGTAACCAAGAGCTGTTATCAAACACTCAAACAATTTAAAAAAAAGAACATCAGTATAATAAAACTATGGAGAGATTAAAGATCGCTGCTACGTTTTGTTTTTTTTTGGTTTAAATATTTAACGAAATGTAACTACGTTAACATGGAAAAGAGAACAGTTAAAATAGCATAAGGTACATTTCTAAAACCATGTTAGGTACAGTTGAGCAAAATATATAAACATAGCTGAAAAAAACCAAAAGTTTCTCTCCATCCTGGTGGATTTCCAACAGTCAACTGACAGTGTCAGAGTTCATTTCACAGTCCCGGGACCAAAAGACGTTTCTGTGACACTAAACAAGAAGTTGATTATTTCTCACAAAGGTTTTCACAGAGGGAAAGCACGCAGGGACATAGCTGGAAAAAGTCCGAGTACACACAAAGAATCATCAGCCGTCAAGTAAATCTGCATTTTCCTAAAGAGTAAAGGTGATTGGTTGTGACCCTGAGAAGTGGACTGCAGATTCATTTAAGAACAAAAACAAAACAGAAAAAAAGAAAGAAAATAATAATTATCCTTTTTTCTTTTTTTCCCACCATCATGACACTAACAAAACTCTACAACCATGCAACAGATTGCACACTATCATAACCAAACACACCTAAGCAAGAAACCATGGACGCATATATACCAACTTCATACTGATATGTAATTTGTTTTTTCTTTTCAAAAAATATTTTTGGAAGTTTTTTTTGTTTTACATACTTTTTTAACATTTCTATTTATCTCAAAGCTACTGTTAAAACAAGGCGTTTAGTGATATTTAACCCAGTATTTTTTCCATTTTTTCTTTTCTTTTTTTCTCCTTTAAAGAAATATCGTGAAAAGTTACTGAATTATAAAGTCAGAGGCAGGTTCAGCTGGAGCTGCAGGATGAGCAACGTGGAAGTTTTTCACCTCTGGTGGTGCTGCAGAGCTCAAAAAGCAGGAACTTAAAGGAAAAATACCCTTTAAAAGGCTTTAATACAGCTGTGTTTTGCTTTACTGGCTTCAATTGTGGTGTTTCCGTAGCTTTTTAACAATCAGTCAAACACACACAGCATAAGGTTGGGTGAAGGGAACGAGTTCCTTCTGTAACCAAAGTGAATGACAGAGAGAACCGCAGCACAGAAACTAGAAATCTACGTCTGAAAGTACGAGAGCAGAAAATGGACTAACAGGCAAAGCAGCTACAGTACATAGTTAGGTTTGACTCAGACGTGACTCTAATTTTGCTGAAACTCTCTGTTTTCAGTTAACACACCCTCCAGTTTCACAGGAGAACCTTTGAATGCACGTGTTTAAGTCTGGCTGAAGCGTTTAGTATTAAAACATAACAGCAAGAACCGTGTTTTAATAAAAAGAAGAGAATTTGTATTGCACTTATAAAGAGGCTCAAAATGTTGCACTTTTCTTCTGTAATAAAGATGTTATAAAGCTTTAAACTTTCACCATCAAAAAGGCGTAATTATATTAAAGTCAGCTGTAATAAAGCAGAGCTTCTGTTCCTACAATTGTTATGGACATACCCTGTTCTCCTCTAAAATGCAGGAAAGTTACTCAAGACACAAACAGAGCATTTAGTACAGATCACTGATTATAAGCACGTGAGATTACATAAAGGGAATTTTTCCTTTAAACCCACCTAAACTTCATCCTCTAGTGTGAACAGCCCTTCACTGGCAACATATTGGGAACACTGCACTCCAATACTCCTGCATTGATTAAATGAAAACGTTGTCCGGCTGCACTGTCTATGTTCAAGTCATTTAGGATCTGAAATGTCTCCTACTGCCCTCAGTCAGCCCAAAAAGTTGCCTAGATGACCAGCAGTCCCACTGTGAGACCCTGAAGTGACACCACCGGACCATCCTGCCACACAGTGAACCTGCCGCTTAGTAAAGTGACCTACAGCATTGATTCTACACATTAAGGTGACCGTAAAGAAGAAGAAGAAGAAAGAAAAGAAAGAGAAGTCATCATGACCTCTGTTTCTCTCTGTGATTGGACGTACAATGCTCTGAAGAAATAGAAGAAGAAATGGTCTTGTGAAAAGGGAGGGGAGGGGGGTTAACATTATGACCTTTACATATCCCTTCTTCTCAGTATCAATACATAGGAGGATGGAGGATGGATCAAGAGGAGTAGGAAGCGGGGAGTGAAGTGAGGGAGGGAGAAAAAGTCTTCACTGGCCACATTACTGATATAAAAAGTCAACAGCCACCTTCCCGATTTCACCACCCATTAAGCTTTCAGGAGAAATTAGGTGTGAGGTGTGTAAGTGGTGGCTGATGCCGTAGTTAACTTGCTGCTGGTGTTTGTTTGTTGAGAAGATGAAAGAAAACGGAGATGAATGCTTGTGGGTGGCCAGTGTTACATTCCTGTACTGCTTAAAGTATTGAGGTTGATGATGATGATGATGATGATGATGATGATGATGATGATGATGATGATGATGATGAATAGTGATGAGGATGTCTCAGAAGTTGAGATGCTTCTGGCTGGGCTGGTGCAGGTGCATGGTGTTGGCCTTTGGGGGGCGGAGCAGGTTGAGGCGTCGCAGGGCCTTGCGGGACATGGGCTGGGTGCGTTGGGTGGGGTTTCCCGGCCTTTGTTGCACAAGGCCGGCCTGAGCGGAGAGCGCCGCGGCGTAGCAGGAGGAGTGAAGACTGGAGCGCCGCTGTGAAACTGCCGCCTCTGGCCTGCAGGAGGCAGAAGTTTTCAGAAGAAGGCAGATTAGTTTTTAGCACAATGCACAAGTAATTTAACAGCTGCTTCAGAACATGCATTGGTTTACAATTATATCCAATTATCAGGAGCATTTTTGAAGTATCTGCTACAGTGTGTGCTCTTTCAGTTAGTAGATTATTTTTATTAAAATGTCTCAAAAAGCCTGCGACTGGATAAGCTAACACTAAAAACGGCTATTGCGAAGTTAGTGCCTTTGAAGTGTTGTCCATTTGATACTTTTGGACACATTTATAAATATGTCCAAGCTTGAAATCTATTTTCCAATGATGATGAAATTTCTGTCCATGGACAGAGCCCAGATTTTACCTGTGGCGAGAGCCATCTGGCGTTCTTCTGGCCTTTTCCTTTCCACTTAAAGCTGCCAGGCTCGCAGTTATCTCATCGGATGAAAAATTCAATTCTGGTTCATGTGAGCTTTGTGGCAGGGGGTCATGGTTTAGTCGTGGGATGCTGTGGTGAGTGTAGACGGACATGCTGGGGTGTTCGATTAGCAGGTTCTCCAGAGGGCTGGGCTCCAGGACGATGGGAAAGGTGCTACGCCCAGTGAAGCAGGGTGGGGGGGTAAGAAACCAGCTCTCCTGCAGAGAGCGGGTGTTCACACGCAGAAACCCACTCTCATCATCTTCCTCGTCCTCATCTGGACCACCGTCCAGGTCGGTGTCAGCCGTTGAGTCGAGGGAGGTGCAGGAGGCGTAACGGACAGGTGGGATGCCCATGGGTGAGGGGATCATCACCAGCTCATCATCTTCTTCTTCTTCATCCTCTGCCTCCACCTCCTCGTCTTCATCTTGGATGATGGTGGATCCCGAGTGGCCATCGTTACACTGGCTGGAGCCGGCTTCAGCTAAGGGGTGAGATGAAGGTGTCATTAATGGAATGAAAATAGTACTAGAGACGCATCAGATTTTATGTCTTATCAAAAAAGTAACACCTGTATCTGAAAAGTACCAAGTACTAGTCATTCCCCACATGCTCTTACAGGCAGTTTACAGCAGAAACAGTCATGTGAACAACCTGTTACAAAAACAGGCTTTTAAGGCTTAAACCTATTCATTATTAAGGCATGGCCGCTTTGACTGAAAGGTCTGTGAGGATACAAGCTGCTGTGGAAGCTAGGTGTCTGCTACTGTGAGTGAACTGCACCTCATGACAGTGTTTGTGCCTTTTTGAGCATCTTTAAAGCCATCATCTGTCAAACAATAAGGCCTGTTTTGTATTGACCTTCCAGGAGGCAGTGGTGGTGAATGTCATTAACTTGTAGAAGCTTGTTTCCACGACTAAAAACAGAAAAACTATTTAAAAAAAAAAAAACAAAAACAATAAAAACATAAATCCATTTTTAAAAATAACCTTGGGTCATTATCTCAAAATTTGGACTTTGACTAACTTGAAAAGTTATTTTCTCATTTTTTAGTTATTTTCACAGAAGTTTGGGGTAATAAATCAAAATTTTAAGATACCAAACTCGAAGTTTTGAAATAATAACCCAAAACTTGGCTTATAAAATGTTGTTTTTGAGTTTTGGAAAAAGTTTTCATATAAACTTAAAATACATTGGTTATACACAAACCAGTGAAAAGAGATTCAAAAATAGGCGTCCCTCTCTTTACAGCGTATCTTTGTAAACATGTTCTGCGCCCTACTTTTCTAAAATGTTTCCCTATGAGGTCTCAAACAATTTGGTTTACAGACATCATAAATCCAAACTCCTTTATGCAACAGGTCATTTACTGTTCCAGCTGTTGTTTTGATTTTAAAGTAAAATGCCTGTGTAATGTCATCAGTGTACCAGCAGGCGGCACTGTGGCTTGGCCACGCAGCAGAAGGGAACCTGCCAGATGTAAACAATAATTTTCTGGAGGCTGATCAGCCAAACTGCTGCAAGCAGGCTGACAGCTCAACATTGCATGCCCAACGAACCACGGCTTGCACGCATGTTTCTGTTTGAATTTGCAAAAATGTCTGTCTGCTGTTAACCCCAGGGAGAGCAACTTAAGCTCTCTCTACAAGAAGCAGCATACACAACCGCTGCTCGTTCCTTTGCACATAAATCATCGTGTGCAGCGAGCACGCATACATCCTGCACTGCTAGCTATCTTATGCAAAACTGGAGGCTTGCCAAAAGCTGCGGGTCGGGCTCTTGTTTTGATCCAGCCACAGCTTCTAATGATTCACAGAGAAACAGGAAGTTGTGAGGTGGAAGGCCAACATGATCTCAAGCTAGCAGACTGGATGTTAAAAATAACTTTGTGTCGACACAGCAGACATCTCTGCTTGTTTTCAGTCTTCTTCAAGGATGGGGCCTTACTTTTGTAAAGAACATTGTTATTAGAATGTTTTGGTGGTCATCAAACACACAGAATGAAGATAAAGGTTTTTCGACCTCCACCCTTTCATCGGCCATCTCCTCTGACCTCAGTGCTCTCACCTGTTTACTGTGAGAGCAGTGTTTGGAGTGTTTGAAGCTCAATTTCTACACGTGACATTAACACCGCCCTGTGGCTCTGACTCCCTGGAGTTCACAGAGGAGTCCTTGTTTACCCACAACAGGCCAGAGAGGTTGCAAGGTGCTGACTCAGTTCGCAGCAGCTGATCTTCTCACTTTATCCTCTCAGCAGCAGTGGGACAGCCCCCACTGTCCGAGCCCCATCAGCTGCTGATCTCTTCCTGCGGAGGCTGCAGGCGTTTGCAAATACAGCAGCTCATGGTATGCAGTGTCAACTTGACAACAGGTCTCCAGCTCTAGAATGGGGTGCATGTAGTGTTTTGTACACTTGGGCTCACTGTACATTGGGTTAATGAGGTCAGTCCAGATTATGAAAGGACCAGCTGATCCCCCACATAACCCTGTCTCCTCCATGAACCACAAAGGCTCAGAGCATGCAGAGCATCAGCAGAGCAAACAGACAGCATCACCTTTAACCAGACTTCTTCAGCTCCTGGCCTCATTCAACCACATTTGCAACGTTCAAGCCATACTTTCTTATAACATTATGACTTCTTACTCATTTCTGACACTGTGTGTGGCACATTCATGAGCCTGTATTCACACTTGATAATATGCATGAGTGATGACAGGCCATAAAATCCTCATTTTTAAAATATTGCTCTTGACATGCTTACTTATGTGATAAAACCCAAACACAATTCTTTCACCACACAGATCTAAGAGCACAAATGTTTGTAATAGAATAAATAATAAGTCCCCCTTAAATCAGCTCAAGCCAGAGCTGGTGAGAAACCTGACAGAAAATGTCAACAAAACATTGAGTCACAAATACACTGAGCTTCTATCAGCCTTGTACAAAACATAGCATGGTGTATCTTTGTGATGGAGACACGGATATGATGTAGCCAGGTGTTTTTATAGTGGAGGGATGTTCGAGGAAACTTTCTGCCCATACATGTTTACCTCCTGGAAGCACTGGGACCTATTTTTACCTCATCTGGTTCTCCAGGCACTTTTGTTTGACCCGTTTGCAGCTTGACTTGCCCATAAACTGCCTGACATCCAACCTCTTCACCCCCTCCAGCTTGAACTGAGTCAGACAGCCTCTCTTTCTCACCGGCCCTCGTGCCAGAAATATTCACACGGTTATGGAATTTTGGGAGGGGGGGGAGGGTCAATTCAAGTTAAGACCCACTGTGGGTTAACACCAAACCAAAGCTGTGCCAAGAATCATCCAGAGCCATTTGGGAGTCACTGCAGTGTGTCATGTTTCTGCATACAGTGTGTGGGTGGGTGACTTGTTGAACTCCTCTGTGTCGTGTCTGTTTTGACTGGAATCTTTTTATGGTCTCAGACTGCACTGGAAACTTGGCATGGTTTTTACCTGCCATTAAAAAACTCTAAAGTTATACACTGTCTTTCTAGCTGGTTGCTCCAAGTTGGATTAGCTCAGTAGCCTTTCCTGAACTCACGGTCTTCTTCATCAGGGGGTGGATCTTGCTCTAATCTTCCTTAAACTGATTGACTTTTTTACTTTTGGCATATATGCATGGCATTTAACACTTGCTATGCACACATCTGAAGTGTGTGTGTTTCTAATTTGTTTACCTATTTAACCCAAAGTTTTCACATATGCCATATAGTGAAATGCTGGAGCTTGAGCCCTTTGTTCCTCAGTGTCCTCCTGCTAGAGTCAGCTTTCATTTCATAGTTTAGTTTACAGTGTTTTGAGAACAAAAATGCATTGTCTGACAGCTGAACAAGTGAAGCAAGTCTCAAAGTCGTTCTAAAAACACTGCTGCGTGTCAAAATCTTTATTTACCTTCTACTTTATGGTACTAATGCAAGGCGTTGGCTGATTACAGATTCTGAACCATTAACTAGTTCTTGTGAGAATCAGACTTACTCAGGTAGTTGACCAGGATCCAGTCTTCATCCTCCGCCGCTATCTCCTCCACTTTGCCGTCCCCAGGTCTGCCGCCTCGACTCACCTCTTCCACATTGTCCCCAAAGAGAGCACTAGCGAACCTCTGGAACATCCTGAGATGTCCTGCAGGGGCGTGAGGATGAGGGAGGGGTCGGGGGAGGCGCGTGGCTCTGGGCGACGGCGGGGAGGTGTTGCGGTCGTTTTGGTCATCAGCTGCGGGGTTCACAGCAGGGGGAAGGCTCCGTAAAGGTGCTAAAGTGCATCAATAAGTTGTGGTCATAGATCATCTGAGGGCCAGCAGGCGCAGGCTGGACATCGCTCAACGTCAGGATCGCTTCAGTGAGTGCAAAAGTCTTCAAAAAAAAGCCCTGAGAGGCAGAGAAACATGAGGATTCGGTTATAAACATTTACAGGTGCTGGTTTTACACACAAGGCCTCACATCCCCATCCCTCATTAAAGATGTTAGGACAGAGCCTGAAAACACACCAGGGCTTCCCAGAGAAATGGTTTAAACACAAACACACACACACACAAGAACGACTTTAATGACAAGCCTGTTAGTATTCGCCTCTAGCTGCACAAATTTCCGGGATGGATTAATTTCCTGTCAGACTTGATGGTCATGAGCAGCAGCTGCAGTTTCTTCAGTTATTGATCTGAAGGAAACGAGCGGAGAAAAAAGATGTCCTGTCTGTGTTTAATTCACGTGCAAATAAAGGATCCGCTGTGCTCAGAGGACGTACAGACACAGCTGGCTGGCAGCCTGTTTGTTGGCCTAACTACAGCCTTTCACATGAGGAAAGTAGAAAGAAATGAAAAGTCACAAGTGTCACTGTCACCCTACAGCTGCTGTGTAAATGGAACCCACTGGCACGATATTAGCAGATTGAAGCCAAGTGTACTGACACCCCCCCCCCCCCCCTTATTTTGGCCTTCACTCTACAAATTCAGGTTTTATGTAATCTGTCCAAATGAACTCTTTTACTGTCCAACTGATAAAGTGCAGACCAGGGTTTAAGCCCCATGTGAATAAGGTAGTGGTGGGGTGGTTTAAACCATAAGGAGACACATGATAGCCCTATAGACATTACTTATGGCTAAACAAAAAAACGATGGTGCAAGATGCAAATGTATCATCTATAAGACTTCCATTACATGTAAATTAGATGTAAACTGAAGAAAATGTGGCAAATATGATAAGCAATTTCATCATACTTCATGTATAGGTGTGTCAGGCAACACATGAACACTGCATTAACAGCTGCAGTAGCTCAACTGTTGTAATAACAGCCTTATATTAAATCATTCACAACCTAATCATTTGTTATGAGTAACGAGCTCTCTCAGTGGATAAGTGACACTTTAATTTCATATATCTGTTGGCACTTTTTTTCTGCTTACGCAAAATGACTCACGATAAGTTATGGTTTATCCACGAACACTTAAACATCTAGTTACAATAACTGTAATCACCGGTAGGAGGCGGAAACAAAGCACGGCACTGGATAAAAACGCTTAAATTCTCATCAGGAGCAAACTAGCCCAGATATCCGATTTTTTTCTCCCTACCCTTGAAGGCGCATTGCCTCTGGCTGTGCTGCGTTTAATTACATCTCGTATTTTCCGGCACATAGCGAATAAAAAGCGTTCTTCTTTTCAAGAACAATCTAACCCCGCCTCTGTAAACATCGAACAGCTGTGAGGGACAGAAAACAGAAAACGCTTCTGACTGACTCACTGTCTCACACCGACAACAGCAGGCTGATAATCTGCAGCACCTGTTTCTCATCCCCCCTGCTCACCCTCCTACGGCAGGTCATTTCAGGATAGGACTAAATCATTTACACGACTTTATTCCTGTTATTATAATAATAACCATACACAAAGAAAAGCTCTCCCGGGCTTGGTTAAAGCCCGGTTAATGCCTGATTAATGCTGTTAAACGGGTCACTGAACGTCAGCGCAATTGATGCATCTATTACATCAGATCGCGCTTTGTTTGGGTGTTGAGTGCGAAACGGGCTGTAAAAGAAAGATGTCTATACAGTATGCGGTCTGCGGGATTAAGAATAAACCCATAAAGTGGGATTCAGTGGAGGATAAAATACAGATTACCCACGTTTTAGCTGGCAAACAAGAGTTAATACACAGCTAAACTCAAAAGGCGCACGCTTTTACCTTCACCTTAGATGATTTCTGTAAATGTTAATTTCTGTGAAAATAGTTACAAATGTTTGGGGATGCCATCTTATTTCGCAAGCCCCCCCCCCAAAAAAAAAAAGATTCTTATTGACTTTACAGGACAAAAGCAGCAAATAGTCATTACCGAAAGGAATACTTGACACCTCTGCTTGATAAAAGACCAATTACCAAGTTAAGTTTGTTCTCAATGGACTGATCGAAGCGCTAATGTGATTTGGCGTCCAGACTGTGAGGGGATAAAAGCTGAAGTGATTCGGTAATAATGTGGAGCTACAGCACCCTAAGAGTGTTGGCCGGTTTCGATGGTTATACAAGGAAAGAAGGAGGAGGAGGCTGTAATTCTACCCGCACAGTGCTGGACCTGGACCGCATATTCACTTTAACTAATCTCCGTATGATATGATATCAAATATTTTCCCAAAATAAACTTACTCCAGTCCAAGTCGAGCAAAGGCAGAAAGCTGTGCAGAGCCACCGCAACCAAAGCCACCGGCAGAGAAAGCCGAATAAAACGCACAGTTAAGGCTTAATAATGGAGCATAGCTTCTTAATTGCTGCATATCTACCAAAACACCAAGTGCCTCTCCTGTTATGTGCATGCAATTTATATATAATACCAAAATCAGAGGCTTTGGGGCCGAGTATATTCACCGAGATGAAAACAAAGAGCTCACCTGCGGCAGAAGGAGGAGGAGGTGTAAACGAGTCCAAACCGTGATTAAAATCCTTAAAAATGAGGTAGATGCGTTACTTTTCGAAAAATAGAAAAACTTGAGGTTTCTTCGCGGAAGAAATAAAATATAAAAACGTTACTTTAAGGACTGCACATCGGGAGTCACAGTGCGGCGTTTCTTTTCAGTCCCGTTTCCTCCTCGAGCCCCCGACTGCGCCTTCTTTTGTTGTTGTTGTGGAGCTCAACAGCTGATCGGCCGTGACGTCGTTAAGGACCGCCTCTCTGCGGGAGGAGCCAACCGGAGCCCTCGAGGGGCCAATCAAACGAGCGTTAAGGGCAGTCACTAACCCACGTGACTCCCTCCTCCCTCTCCTAAGGAAAAAGAAAGGGACATGACTGGACAAAGCGCTCAGCTGAGCAAGACTATGTGTGTATGTGTGTTTCTTTCCCCCAAAACAAGTTAATGTTACATAACAGAGCAGATATCCGGGTCCAGCCGCTGGGTTTCCTGTTTTCTAACCGTTCAAACACCCCTTAGAGTCATCAGATTTACAATTTTATTAAAATACGATTACACAGCGAGGTTTGAATAAAGTTTTCATCATTTACTTTAGAGTTAAGAATGATTGCATTAGTTTTGACATTTAGACATAAATAGAGCATACTACACAAGTTTTGGGGCTTTTTGTAAGTAATATGAGTATCTGTGACGTTTACAGTAGAGTAACTGTTTTTGCTTTAAGATTAAGTAAAAAAAAAAATGCTACAGCAGCACTTAATATTTAACAGTTTAAAAGCCAAAAAAGGTTGATGTGCTTCCACATTATATTTGTCCCCTTCCAGTTTCAGCATAAAAGAAATGCAAAAATCCAGTAAAGATCAGTGTTGTGCTCAGCAGTCTCAATCCTCAGAAATGCAAAGTGAGAAAATGCAGCCCTCCCCCATGTTTCACACTTCATCCTCTTATCACCCTCCCTGCACCCAACCGAAGAGGTGGAGGAAGGGCCATCAGTTCCAAATAAAAGGCCTTAAAGATACACTTTGGTATCTTCACTGGTCTTTAGCTACAGCTGTAAAGTCGATACTCTTATGTTCAAACTGCACACTATGTTTTATTCTAGGCTTGGTAATGTTGAGAATAGATTCCTTAATGTACATCAACGTTAAAGAGAATATAGTTGTGATTGCTTGCAACATTATAATATTGTAGTAATGGGTGTAAGGATACACAATAGAAAATAGGCCTGGGATGGGAACAAAGAACTGAGGTGCAGGGCAGGACAATCAACCCCCACCCCCAGGGCATGAAACAAGAGTTACTGAGGGTGAGGGGCAGACAAAGGGTAAATGGGCACTACCATAAAAGGAGATGGGGGTCAGGGGGTCAGCACCCTTGGCCACTGTACTAGTGGGGGTTCATTGTGGGGGTGTTTACTGTAGGGGGGAGGAGACCAGAGGTTATAACTGTAACTGTTGTGTGGAGTTCTTTAGATCAGCCTTTAGCATAGGACTGCATAGGAATGCAGTGTGCTGATCTCCAGATGCATCTGTAAGAATAATGGGTAATAAAAGGATTGTGTAAAACATGGAAACATCTCAGCGTGATCTCTACCAGGACCAAAAGAATCGCAGAGACCGGCGTTGTCCCAACAGTAATAACAGATACTATGAACAACTATTGCAGAACAGTTGTTGGATTTAGACATGTCAAGAGTACATGGTATGCTGGATTTGTCTTCACGTTTAGATGAATGGAATTCTTCAGTGTGGCCTGCACTGCACTGTTTTCCATTTAAACTGAATACTTTCCCACTGATTCTCTGACCCGTTTTTACAGAGAGCAGCAGCCCGATAAACATAATGTCACCATTCTAATAACGGTTTTATTAACAGTTTACTTTTAACTAATTTACTCGTGCTGTATTTAAAACTGGATTAATACCACTCTTTCTGAACAGCTGTCATAGGTATCCACTGCAGTTTCCAAGACACCACATCAAGTATCAGGGAATCAGATGAGTTTTTATATTAACATGACTTTAGTAAGAAGGACAAATATGCAGCACCTCTTCCTAATTTTCACTATTTATAAGTTTCTGACTCACATACTTGGCTCCAAATTCAAAATCATGTTAACAGGATGGAGATAACATCAGTTTTTTTGGGTTTTTTTGGTCAGCAGCAGGCTTAATAGGATCCACCTTCGGAAGGGTGGAAGTAGGAAACCCAGCCTTCACCCCTTCCCCTTTTTAAAAATCTCATCCTCCCATTGCCCTGCACACGACCCACACTGTGGAGGAAGGGCCATCAGGCCAGACAAAAGGCCTCCAGGAAGTTGTGTTATTCTTCTATGCATCTCGAACCGCCAGTATGTTCTGTTCTTTATCTCCAGCTATAAAGTTGTTTTATGAAGATGTTATGGTGTTCAAAGTACAGACAACTTTTTTTCTCATAAATGCTATAAGGTGAACATAAACATGTAGGTCTAACTATATAACATGCTATAATGCAATTGTAGATAAGACAAAAGTGGTCTGTCAACTAATATTTTCTATTGTGGACACCAGCAAGTGCAGGTAGCTTTATAAACAGATAATCAGTGGAAAGTACTCGCTTTTAAAAATGTCCTCATATTAGTACATTATGGGATATTGCTCACATCAATTGTCATGGTGGTCATAAATGCCAACGATAGGGACACGAGGGCTTTTCAGAACAGGACATTTAAAAAACATAACGATGAAAACAATACCACAAATGAAATCACATCAAATACGAAAGACTAAAAGAGAATGATTCTCTTTTAAAAGAACTTTGTTCACAACATGAGGAGCATTGTGTGCTGACCTTCAACCTCTTAAAGGCAGGTGATATTTCTTTTACTACACTTCAACATAGTACACTATGTATACTTCACTCCTGCTTGATCAGTGTTTGTTTTTTAACAGAATTGGAACACAACATGTTCCCTTTTATCAGAAATGATTACAGGCATTTTGATGGTGACTGTATTTCTTTGTACAATGATTGTAGTACTTTAGATACTTGTCATTCCTTTCAAACACGCATAATACTTACATTTTACATGTGGAATAAAAACACTTAATACGCATGAACCACGGACTGTATATAAAAGATTTACTTAGCCCTCTTCATGGTATCCATTAAGGTTTCGTAGTCATGTAACCACTAACCACATGGCATTAACTTTTCCTCCATTTTGGGCATGTTGACAATTGTGGTGATAATGTAAGCTTAAGTGAATAAGGCCCAGTGTCACAGGCCTAGAGACATGTCCAAAGCCATCTGACAAACACTGAGAAATCACCGTCTGCTTGGCAAAAACCTCCTTGTGATTGCATTGATTTTCAGCAGATTGCCCCAGTCACCTTTAGTTTGCATGAAATACAGCGACTTCTTTATAAACACTCACCAGCTACTCTGTGAGCTGTAATGAAGGAATGAAAGCAGGTAGCAGGCTGTAAACATCCTTATTAATTGTATTACGTTGAGTATTTTAATACGTAACTCTATGGAGATCGATTCATTCTTGTAGCCAGCCTCAGCTGGCCGTGAGAGGAACTGGACTTGTGTCGGCTGTGGTTTGGCACAAATATCAAATAAGACTACAACACATGGCGCTGTTAGCTAGCTTGATAGCATTAGTGCCACCTAATTAACTGAAAATGTATTCCTCCCGGTCGGTGGTACCTCCACATAGCCAGTGTTGACTTTAACTCAGAAGTCGGATATCAGAACTCAGAATGACGTCACTTTTGAGTTGAGTGCATTCCAGATGTAAAGTCAGAAAAGCAATGAAAAGCAGGATTCATTTTGCTTCTTAGCATAGTAGAAAAATGTGTGTATCACTAGCAATACAGCACAATGCTTGTTTTTTTTGCTCTGCAGGACATTCATGGATAAAGCCTGATCAGTGGTCTATGCATAGCGTATTTAGCGAGTCAAAAAAAACAGTGGCAGCACAGATTTAAAGTTTACAGCTTTACTTCTGTTTACCTTCAATGCTGCCATATTGGATTGTTAACTCGTTAACTAATAGTTTTTACCATTATTAGTACACAGCCCAGGTATTAGTAATGTACTTTGGAACACTCAAAATGGCAAATATTGAAGTATGCAACTTGACATACAGCACAAGGCTCACTGCAGTCTTTATGAATAGATGTTTCCCTTTGAAATGTCCCATTAAATTTCCACCTTTTAGTCTTTTCCTTCCAATCCATATGTTATATTTTCAAATCTTTTTACTAAATATTTACACTTGATGTTCATGCTTTTGTTTTTGAGGTTTTTGTAATATTGACTAGCTTAAGTTTCTCTCTTTTGTTCTCTCTCCAGCTGCTTTCTCTATTTTTCCTTCAAATGTGGAAAGTTTGAGTTTCAAAGTTGACTCATTGACTTTTAGATGTTACAGGGTTGGAATGCTACTGAGTATATTTACTCTTCTTACGTAATTTTAGACTGTTGTTCTTCACATATTTCTTCTACATTTCAGAACCCAACATGACACTCTTTAACTTTATTGAACACATCTGGCTACTTAGAATTCTTTAAAACCATGGAGTTTAATCAACTTGTGAAATGCATAAGGGATCACTGGTTGTGCTGTCACTTTGTTTTGAGTATATTTTGTTTTCCCTAATCTTGCTTTGTCTACCTGTCATTCTTCTTTTTCTTCTCCCTGTAGCTGTTTTCTATCTTTTTTTGTATTTCACTCATCTTTTGTGTGGCTTTGTGCGTCCCTTTGAGTGCTTTATGTCTGTTTGAGCTTGTTTTCTGAGTTTTTGTCATTATTTTTTGCCATTTGGCAGTGGCTTATGGGTCACTGAGGTTGTTTTGCTCCCTGTTGGGATCACTGTGTGTCCTTGTGGTCATTTTGTGCATCTTTGTGCAATTTTAGTTAGTTTTAAACTCTTTATAGTCAAATTGTAGCTCTCCGGATGAGTTACTTTTCAATAACAATTGTTAGGACTCACTTTAAGTGGACTCTCTGGTCCAGAGCCACTAATCCTGGCAGTATGCCTGACTTTTCTACAGTCGTCACCATCCACACAGAAGAAATGTGATTGGTTCAAGCAAACAGAACAGAAATTCCAGTGGAACATCCATGTCGAAAAAACATACAGGGACGCAGAACATAGGACCGACGTGTTAGCCTACCATGTTTTTCCATTTCCCAAAACACAAGGACGCACCTGTACCACTCTGACAACACAACGCTGATAAGATGTCCTCAACTGCTCTGTTTTATTTTTCTTTCTGCACTGTTACATCACAGCTGCTGCATCCTCCCATAATGCTAACTTGCATCATAAAACTAGAAGCATTCTTGGTATTGAAAGGACAGATAAAACAAATGTAGTGATGTCAACCTGTTACAGGATTGTTAAATAAATACATTACAATGTTTGACTTGACTGAAACAATAGCATTATCGTTCTTTAATTTCTAAGTCTTATTGCTGTTTTCAACAGAACTCAGTGCCACAGAGTTTTATTGTTGTTGTGTAGAAACTCTTAATCAGTAAGCTATTCTGTGTGACTTGTTCCTTCATTATCACGAAAACACACACACTCTGTTGACTTGACCACATTCTCGATGCCCTGCTACCCCAAAAACACATACCAGAGGACCAAATTTTCTAAAAGCAGTTCCAAAAAATATGCTCTGAACTCTTCTGTAATGACAAGCTTGTTTGGGAAGTTCCTGAGTCTTTTTTGAATTAAACCTCAACACTTGAGAGGTAGTGAGACATGAACTGACACAAGGAGAGTGGGTGTGTGGATGATGAGCTAATTCAGGTACTCAGTGTCTTTTAAATTAAGGCTTGTTCCCTGCTTACGAACACCTAGTTTGTTCACTTAAGCTGTTTCTTATTAACAAATACTACGGGACTAATGAGGCATATTCTCAGTCCTGTGGGTGTGTGTGTGTGTGTGTGTGTGTGTTTGCATTACGTGCACAGTGGGGACATATGTACACCTATTTTCATACAATCAGAAGCTGACTTCTTTACAGCGACAAACAAAAAAGATCTCAAAACTTAAATGGCTAAGATTTGGTCTTGGTTTAAGGTTATGATAAGATGAGGGTAAGATTAGATGCAGGTTAGACTTACTAAGGAATTCCTGTGGAGTGACGCAAACCCCGGTATGCGTAAGTAAACAGGAGTGTCATGAACCAAATGTCCGCTTGCTAACATAAGTACTGTGTGTGTTACACTACACATTCATCCGTCACAACAATGCACAGTCGCCGTCCTTCTGCTGCGGCTTTATGTAATCTAGCTAATGTTCACTGTCTGTGTTGCACAATTCTGTCCTCGGCGAGCAGACGGCAGAGGTCAATGACTTTGTTCTGATGTCATTCAAGACACACTGAGTAACGTATATGCTGCACAGTGATCACAGGAACCTACCAGAACCTGTTTGTCCTCATACTAAAGTGATACTTGCTGCAACTTTGAAAGGTGACTGTAAAGAATTCAGTTTACTCCAGGGATTCCAGCAGTGGTGAGTGTTAAGGTGGAGCAAGGGTATCAAAGTATTTACAGAAACTTCTAAAACATCAGGACTCGTAAAACTATTGAGAGACCCATGGGAAAAAGACTGTAATGAACTCAGTAATGATTAAACTGTGATGTCATATTTGTAATTCATGTTGGCTAACATGACACAAGTAACGTGTAACAACAATTAAATGCAAAATGTGTTTTCTTAGCATGCGTGTGGATGTTTTCATATTAATGTGCAGTTTTTATGCATATGTATATGTACATGCACGGGCATGCATAGTTTATGTGTACATGTAAGAAAGAATGTGTTTTTAGGATAGGTGTGTTAATTTAGTCCGATCCTAAGCGATCCTAACATCAAGTGTAGAGCAAGATTTTGTTTGTGCTTTTTTTCTTCTTATGTTTTCTTCGACTGTGTATTTTATTTAATCGTATTAACAATAAAATGATTGAAAAATAGTTCTTACAGTAAGTGATGTACAAACACCTTGAGTAAATCTAACTGGTCACTTGTCATTAATGTATCTAAGGAGATGTTAAACGTTTTCATGTGTGGCATAAGCAAAGGTATAATCCTAAAGAACCAACATTAGAACATTATATATCCAACTTGGAATTTATGAAAGACATGGTGTCATTTGAGACATTGTGATCTTGATAAATTTCAAAATATGTAATTGTGTTTTATTTTCCTTGATAAATCTAGAACTAACTCTTATCTGTAAATAAAGGTGCAGTCTCAGAATTAAAACTACGAGGAAATACTTAAACTCTATACAAGTTGCAGAAGAAGACTAGTTGTGTAGACATTTAGGAGAACATTTCTTTATCAGTGATCTCAATAAATACTTTTCTGATTGGTTTATGGTCTAGGTTGCTAGTTTCAAGTGTCACGCAATACAGCATCATATTAATTTAGTATATTATGGTCATAAGCAGGGAATGTGTCACAGAGCAGGCCACTTTGTGATTGACAAGCCACTACCATATGAGTGTTGTTCTCAGTCAGATCCACCCCTTGCTTGCGACATAAGCTTTCAACAGTCAAGATGGCACAAATGGTCGAAAGCATCAACCCAATAAGCAATGTCACTGTGGCCACATCCATCTTTTATAAACAGTGTGAACTTAAATCAAATTTAACACTTTATCAAAACAGTTCTTGTTTTACATCTGCAACGCCCAAAGAAGTAAACGCGCCCTCTCAGCATGTTTTCAGTATCATCTCTGTATAAAAGGCCCCAAAGTTCATAGAATACTTTTACTGGTGTTTATAAGTTTAAAAGTTAAGTTTATAAGTTTAAAGTTCATTTAATATTCAGTCTTCTGTCAGTTTGGGCCAGCCCACCTTCTAGTGACATCATCCGGTTAGTAAGGTGGGCAGTTTAATGTCGGATGAGCAGTGTTGGTCCGGAGAGGGTGCACTGATTCCTGGGGAATGTATGTGTGCGTAAATGACAAGTAAGTAGTGACCTGTGTTCTATTTTGCCTTTGTTTGTGTCAGTACTGTAGTATATTACCATTTAGGAGCTAATGTAGTCCATAGTTGGAGCGGTAGGCCACGCATGGAACGCGTGAGTTCACCCTCATTTCATATGCTAATTTACGTTGTTAGCTTACCCCGGTTTAGCTTTGTTGACGCATGTACGGTCGCTCGTATGTCCATAATGTCAATCCTGTGTTATCAGACCTTCTCTGTATGTTGTATGTGATACTTGTGATTGTTTACTTTGACGTAGCGGAGTTTGTAGCAACAATTAGGTACGAGAACTAATAAAATAGGTCTCGCTTGCCCTTCACAATAAGAACACTATAGCGGATTATAATGGCGGACGCTTTTATTGTGTACAACTACCGAAAGTAGTTCCTGTATATTGACGGTTGTTTAACCTCGCACTAATGCCGTTTAGTTGCATAGTGTGAGCAGTTTGAAGTGTATTATATTTTTCTGATCTTTATATGTGATTATGTTCACTATATTGTATTATGTTTATGTTTGAGTTTTTGACTTGTCTATTCTCTTTATTTATCGTTATTTTCCCTTGTTTATTTCCTTTGTAGGAAACCACACACACACACACACACACACACACCTATGTACACCCGCTGTGTTTACAGCCCCAGAAATTGAGTGGTGACAATAAAGGGCCTCAAACGGAGCCTCAAGCTCCCTCCTTCTTTCCTACTCTGGGACAATTTGGCCTTAAGTGGTGTTCTGGCCGACACACCGGGGTGACCGAAGTGCTCAAAGACTGAATCAGTGCCACAGCCGTGCCTATCTTTGATATCTCCACTACAATCTCCATGTTGACTGTTGCTATGGGGACAAGCCGTCTGTCTGTTAGTATGCACTTTAGCTTCATGACGTACAGATGCAGAGAAGAATGTGGGCCAGGCTGGGAGTAGCACACTGACCTCTGAGGCATAAGAGGTCACAGCTTCACAACTAACGACGATCAATGACAACTTATACTTTATCTTACAAACATGTAGTAGTAAAGCTTTCAAACATAATATTTCTAAGTTCCCGTGGTTTAAAAATGGAGGGCTTTAGATTTTGAATAGATACAGTTTTCTGCAGATATTACACAAATGTATTATTTGTCCCTCAAACAAGACTCTTTAGCAACTCTTTTGTATTTCTAAAGACTGTAATCAGAGACACTAAATGCATCTTACAATGATCACAGTGACAAAAGGGTGAATATAGCTGTATCTGATTTCATATTCCATTATTATGATTTGTATATGCCCATAAAAGCTGCACAAATGTACAAAGGTATTTGACCCACTTGAGGGTCCACAAAACAACTTGTATGAAAAACACATTGCTCAAAGTATGCACTGAAAATGATGTATCGTAAGTGACTACAGTAAATCCTTCTAGAGGGATGCTAGCTATACTCTCTAAATGTGTTGTGTACATTAGTCAGTGCTGTTGTGTGTTTTATTGGGCCTGCTATTTAAGGGATCAGCTGATTCTGGCCATGTAGGGTATACAGACAGAGGAGAGGACTATACTGCAGTAATTGTCTGAGATGTGTCCACTCTGAATGCATGAATAAGCAATGAATTCAAAATGCTGCTTGTTATCAGCAAAGAAATTAAAAGCCTACAGGACCTGAGCGTTCGAGCTGTTGATAGATGGGGCGGAGTATCACTCGAACTCGTTATAACCTTTACATGCAAGACCACAAACACAAACATGTATCCACACCCAGTGGAAAAATGCTGCTTTAGAATTCCAACAAGGGTTTGATGTACTGGTATCAGAAACACATTGTGCAGATGGTTAACTTTGCAGTAAAGGAAAAGGTCCCTCCCATAGTTTCTTCAGAATAGAAAGCTTGAAAGCTGTTTTAATATAAACATCTGAAAAGCTGAAAGGTGACATCCTCCTCTTGAGTTGCATCAGCTGAGCTGAGCAGACTGAGGGGCGGGACAAGGTGCTGAGAACCAGCAGGCCATTGGCTCTTAATGCCCCTTTTCTGCTGGCTGCAGCTCCAGTCCTGCTGCTCATAAAGTGAGTTAATAATAGTGGTGAAGTTATAAAACACAGACAGTTTCCTTTCTGTTTTAGGAAATTGCAGGCAGAACATGAGTCACAGCTTGGGAAAAAGAGTTTGACTGCATGTGAAAAAGCAATGCAACTGTACACAATGACACTATGGTTTAATATTTTGCAAGACAGCATTAAAGGTTATTCAAATGTTGAAAAAAGTTAAGGAAGAAGCATTTAAATACTTCAGAAACATTACTGAACAGGTTTCTAGAAAAAAAAGGCATAAATGCATGTGAGTTTTTAAATTAGGTAAATGTGTTGATGAGTTGTTGTGTTGTAGAGGTGCGGACACTTAAATCCTCTTTTATACATATATTTACTCACTAATGACCAAGCAGCATTTTCTGGCTTCATTTTAAAATGACTTTATAGAAGAATGCAGACACTTTTGAATGACTTATAAATTTCCTCATTTAATTGAATGATAATATTAATAAAATTCCTATTAGTCCAGAATGACACCACGTCCAAACTTTCTATACTTAAAATAAGGACCTACACTACAGTATGTGGATAAATGTACCTTTGAAACTAACTGCTCTAGAATTACCAGGTAAATTGGTTGCATTGATATGGAGTTTCTATACAAAAACATTTAATCCCTTTTTAACCCATTCATACGGATACAATGAGGACAGGGTAGCATTCACAGCACCAGCCTAGCCATTGGATGCAGTGGGAAGATCCATTGTTTCTTCTCAATGACGCTTTGCTAAGTGAACAGCAGGCGGTGAGGAGTGACCCACCCACCTTGAGATTAGAAGTTAGCTAATGGACGACCCTCCTACTGTGCAGCCGAGGTTGGGCAACAAAGAATTTGCATCCGATTTGCATCCTCACTGTTCTGCAGCAGCTTTTAATTAAACACTAGAAGTCCCAGACTTTTCTAACCCTCTGTCAGCCAAGTGGAAGCTAACTTGGCTTCTTTTAGTATCAATTCATATGTAAATTGGGTCGTTACCTGAGAATTCTTTAGGGGAGTGGGGATGTGTGAATGATTGCTGATTTCTAACTGCCAACTGCCTCTTTGTTTGTGTGTGTAGGAGGTGGAGCTGCTAAAAGCTGTGAACTTCCTTTTTTGTTGAGGTGGATACAATCTCACTGCATTTAGCCTAATCCTTCATTGCCCTGACGAATTCTGTGGTGTACGAACCTCCTCTCCAAGGAAAGAAAATGCAGAGAAGACTCACCACTCAGCAGACCTTGGAAATGATCCTGAGTGAAGTCAACCCTTGTGACTCGGATGGAGAAGACCTAGAATTTCAGCCGGATTCGGACTCAGAGCTGTCTGATCAGTCTTCCGGTTAGGTTTCATTTTATATTATTTCATTTCAAACAAGTAAGTGAAAAATACTAAAAAAGCAGAGCAGGATTAGGGTTAGCTAGTAACCCTAACTCTAGTTGTATCTTTTTATTTAGGAAGACATTTCATTTCATATCATTTCCTATTTCATTTCAAACAAGTAAGTGGATGTAGTAAGTAAGATATTTCAGACATTATTCCGATACAGAGGAGGAGATACTGGAATTATAATTAGTATCTATGCATGCATTTGTGATTTCGTTTGACCTTCCCATTGCTCACAATTTGAATTTGTTCACACTGCAGATGAGGAGACTGCTTCTCAACCTAAAAAGAGAGCTTGTTTGGAGACTGAGACAGCAAAAGATGGCACAGTGTGGCGTGAAGAACAGGTGGGGACCTCTCTCCCTTTCACCCCAATAGAAGCGTACGCTGCAGATGGAGAGCCAACGGCTAAGGCCAGGAAAAGAATCTCGAGTCGCCTTCAGAGCTTCCTGTGTTTCATCACTCTTGACATGCTTCATAGCATTCAAGAATGGACTATTCAACATGCAAAGCAAATGGAGCATGTTCATTGGTTCATGGACCTCCCTGAGCTAATGGCATTTATTGCAGTTGTCATCTTGCGGGGGGTTACTAGGGTTCCATCACTACGTGACTGCTGGTCAGCAAACCTGGGAAACCCACAGATCATTGGAACTATGCCGCAAAACCGATTCCAAGACATCATGCAACACCTACGCTTTGATGACAAGTCCACCCGCAGTGATCGAGCAAAGACTGATAAGTTCGCTGCAATTTCCAGTGTGTGGGGATCATTTGTCACCAACTGCATCACGTGCTACAACCCTGGTCTACATATCACCGTTGATGAACAGCTTTTCCCATCAAAGACTCAGTGCTGTTTCCTGCAGTATATTGCAAGTAAACCTGACAAGTTTGGGATCAAGTTTTGGGTGGCTTGCGACCTAAAATCCAAGTACATTTGCAATGTCTTCCCATATCTAGGCAAGGACCCCAATCGTCCCAGTGAGGAGAGACTGTCTGAAAATGTAGTGATGAGGCTGATGGAACCATTCCTAGACAAGGGCAGAAATGTTACCACGGACAATTTCTTCACATCGCTTTCACTTGCCCAAAAACTTCTTAGACGGAAAACCACCATCCTCGGCACAGTCAACAAGATTCGCCGGGAAATTCCTCAATCCACTAGACACACAGATTGCAATGAATTCACCACTCGGGTATGTTGCAGGTCTTTTGTGGTTCTATGTTTGTGTTTCATTGTGTGTAAAAGTGCTATGGAAATAACAATTTATCTTATTTCTTAGGTGTTTTCAACCTCTGCTGCCACGCTGACGGCGTATGCGGCCAAACGGAAGAAGACAGTCTATATTCTTAGCAGCATGCACAGCGTGGTTCAGACTGAAAACACCACCAAAAAGAAGCCAAACACTGTCACCCTTTACAACACCACAAAGTGTGGCGTGGATGTGATGGACCAGATGGTGCGGCAGTACACTGTCCGCAGAGGAACACGGCGCTGGCCAGTTGCCGTGTTCTATAACATGATTGACATGGCAGCACTGAATGCACATGTGCTGTATCAAGCATGCACCGGGACGCAGGAAAGACGGGTGGACTTCCTGGTGGAGCTTGCAAGAGAGTTGGCTCACTCTCATGTAGCTGGGAAGAAGGCAAAAAAAGAACAGTTGCTTCGGACACAACCCTCCACACCTAGCCCTGGAAAAAGAGCCATGTGTCAGGTCAAACACAAATGTAAGAACAATCATGCCACTGTGCGATGTGTTCACTGCTACAGATACACATGTGGTAAATGCAGACTACAGATACCATGGCAGTGCCAGGATTGTGAGTGATTGCTGAAAATGTTGAAATGTACTCACTCACTTTTTATTATTATTTGTAAATATGTGTACAAATGGTTGTTTGTTTTTTGTGTACTGTTTTTATCAATAAATCTCAGCAACAAAGGAAATACACCCATGTGTGTTGATTTCTCCCTAAGATGGCAAACAGAAACACAAGTTTCCTTGTGGCTCAGGAAACTAACCACTCCAAGTGGCTCAGCATGGCCCCACCTTATTTACATAACAAAAGCAGCTGTTCACAGGTGATTAAGGATATAGCTGGAAGGCGGGTTTTAAAGGTAGAAAAGCCAAATGGCTGCTCTCTGAGACTTCTTAAGAGTGAAATTTGTAAATTTGTGTTTTTCATCAATAAGAATCATGTTGACACCTTGAGTTGTGATTATGACAAAAATTATATTATAAAACATTTTTTTCTTATTTCATGTTTAGATAAGGATGTGTGGCTTTTTTGCACAACTGTTTTCATCATGATGCAGAAGGAAGTTTGTGATGATGCCACATAACTGATGAATAAACAGCAGTTTTCTTTTTTTTTAAAATATATGTTACAATTAAATATGTCATGTGGAACCCTCTCGTAGCAAAACAGTGACATACCACGTTAGGGTAGTTTGTGCAGTATAAACCCCTGTATTCCTGCTATGATTGGCTGGGAAGCCTGAAATTTCAAAAATCTTAACAAGCGAGAGTCTTCTATCTACATAACCTGTTTTCCAGCTGGTTTGCTTGTGAACCTTTTGAGATGAACGCGGAAGTGAAGCCAACTAAACTGCTGAGTCACAAACTCTGTGTTTCTCTCCACAGATGGTCAGTGCTAACATGGTTGCTAAACATGGTGGAGCTCTGCAGAGCGACTGTCAGCAGCTGCTCAGTGTTAATACCCATTGTAGGTTAACTAGGAATGCTTGAAATAAAAGAAATCAACAGGAGAGCATTGTCAGAGAGACCGACAGGAGGTCCTCTACAGAGAGTCACATAACTTTTTATCCATGGAACAGAAACAATAAACTTGCTTGGTTCAGCTAAATTTGTCCTGGTACTGTAAACATTGATGTTACTTTGGTTCCTGCTGACATTAGGGAAAATATCTGTATTTATTCAAAAGCAGTATGATGCCTCTCGTGTCTCTCTGTTAAACGTGAAGCTATGGCCTGCTGTCCTTTAGCCTAACTCAGCAAAGCAAACAAAAGCATTCCTTTCTGCAGACAAACATTTTTTTTCTGACTTAATATTCTATTGAATGCTTTTCCTGTTAATTTCACAGAACCACAGCTGATGGTTTACAGTGAAGAAACTATTTGGATGACTAAGTTTAAAAGCATGGGTTTTCTTTCTCTGAAGATGAATGAGACTGAACACACTCTTACATTTCCCATACTTCCTGTACAGAAGTGTGGCAAATATCAAGTTGATAGGTTAGTGTAAGCATACGCAATGTCCATACTCTTATGTAACGGTGCACTCGCATGTATTCAAAGTAAAAAGAGGTCTGAAGGATTTTTTATTTATTACAAAACTAACTTACAGCTATGATTTTTTTAATTTTACACGTGTAGTTGTCAGTAAATTTGATGCCTACATTTGTAAGATCTGGTTGCATAAGTTAACATGCAAGTAAATAAACTGACAACACTGGTGTCCACATACCAGAGTGGCAGTGTATAAAGGACTTAGTGTCCTCTGTTTTTTGGTATACTGTGTTGATTTTATTTCATCTTTGTGACTGCCACACTGAGGTGTAAAGGGTGTTCTTCACTTTGCAGTTGCAATCAGTAAACATTGAAGGAGAAAGCATTCTGTTATTGCAAATATCACCTTTTATTCAGTGTATATTATGCAACAGTGTGTTGGTCTAACGGCATGATGACTGCAATTTGTGTGGGTTAGATCACGTAAGAGTAGCTAATGCAAGTGGTGGAGTATTTGTAGCATGTTTTATGTGTCCAGATGTCATATGAGTGGTGACCCAATTCTTCAGCTGATGGTATAATACACAGATCCCCACAGCGCCATGGTGAACTACATAACTAGTTCAAATATTTTTATCTTTCCTGTTAGTCCTGCTTTATCCTTCTACTCCTTCTGTAATCAGTTTACATTTGATTGCATAAGTTAAGGGGACTGTGCCTGAATTAGCTCCAGTTATATATTTTGCCTTCTCCTGTAACTGGTCTGCCCTTTGATTGCTTTGTGGATGCTTTTGGACCGTGAGTTTTGAACATAATTAGAACTGCATTTAAGTTTCTTGCAACTGCCTTAGGAAATAATTAATTTGGCAATTAAATAAAGAATCCATAAATATATACAGAGCCCGCAAATGATGAAAGTCTCATGTCACTGTTAGACTGCTAGAGAAAGAAAATGCCTTCCGGAGCTACAGTATGTTTCCCAGGGAAGGAAGAGAAATAATAGATTCTCCCATAAAGAGTGAAAAATGTATTTTATTAATAGAAAATCTTAAGTCCAGCATTTAGACTGTCTTACAGAGCAGAAATACAAATGTCCTCAATTCCCTCTTATTTTCTCAAATAAAGCCAAATAAAATGTGAAGCATTCAAGCAACACACAAAAAGCTGAAGATAGGAAACTCAGAACAAGTTAAAAAAAAAATCATCACTAAAAAAAAATGTAAAAGTGAAAGTAGGACAAAGTTATTTAAAGTGACAAGTGAGCAGCTCATGGTTAAGGTCCGAGGACAACTGTATGCTCCAGTCACCTGCAGGTGAAGGTTCAGCCTGTTTATCTCTGCACAGTTAAAACTTTGTCACTTTGTAGCAGCACTAGAGTTTCCTCATGGAAACACAATGCTGATATAGAACAACAAATAAACAAAGACAGGACAAGGCCAGTGAGAGAAAAAAAAAAGACAAGTGCGTCTACAAAATAGGCTTTAACAGTTAGCATAATGCATAAAATCACTCCATAAACAGTTAATTAAAACATCAACATGACCCAGTGCCTTCTCTTTGTGCTGTTTGACAGTTAGTGCAGAATGAAGAAATCAGGAAATATAAGTTTCACAAAACATCTAGCAACAGAAGAAGCTAAGCCTGTTTTCCTGTTGGTTCACCGTCTTGATGAATGTTGGGTGGATTCCTCTCAGAAACCCCAGAATCCCACTGACTTTGGTGGTCAGACTTACTTTTCCCAAACAGCCAACTGAAGTCACTTCTAGAGCTAATTCCATGCAAACACAATCTTTATATAACACAGGACACTAATACAATAGTGTTAGCATGCTAACAAGATGATTTTACTTTTTGGCTAATGCTAAAAATGTTATCGTATACCAGTGAGCCTGCAAACTCCAGTGCTGAACTGAAAACTGCAGTTCCTCTGATGGCCACTTGAGGCTGGCTCCAGAAGACTTTCATGTTAAAATGCCCAATTTTACAACATTAAAGGAATTTTAGCTCTGAATCAAATCATCGAACTAGATCTGAACTGAGTACTGTTGGTACTTTTGTATAAATTCATGCATGCTATTGGATAATATGGTCTCTTGTGAGATAGAGGCTGTCCAAAAAGTTTGCACTTCAGTTTTCGTGAGAGACGTTTTAGTTTAGTAAAGTTTGTTAATTAGCAGTAATTAGTGGATTTCTGTTTCAATGTATTACAGTTTATGGATACGGTTTGCTAACCAAGCCTGCTTGCTTACAACTTAGTACCATAACGTCTTGTCTAAATATGATTGGTTCAGACACCACAAAACCAACAAGTCAGTGGCCAAAACACTATTGTTAAAGCCTGGTAATGAAGAATCTAAAGACCAGTTGCTATAGTACCAGCACAAGTTAAAACTCAAGATCTTTTTGCTAGCTTACTCAGAAGCTTTAAAACACATCTCACTGTGTTTGCAGCCAGATTTTCTAAAAGGTCAACTCTTTTAGTAATTTATTTTTCCTGACAACTGTAGCAGTCAGTCTTTATGGTGGTGTTTCAGTTAGCATACAATATTAGTACGCTACTTTGCTAAATGCTAACACACCGACCAGATGACATTGCTTTTGCATGATGGTCCTGTTTGAGTGCAAGAGCAGCGAGTATAATGGCCCCGACAACTGTGTTAGGTTGAAAGTGAACATAGAAACAAAAGTAAATGATTTCTACTTTGAACAACCAAAACGTGATATTTACTTTATTTTGCTTAAAACAAAAATAAGTCATCTCATAAATACACTCTGGGTGATTATGCTTATAAATGACATAGTAATAATTTTCTTAATAACATTTAATATAAAATTGGCACCTTTCTACACAGAAATTCAAAGGTATTATTCACATTTATCTCATAGATATTTGAAATTCAAACATGTAGCTCAGTGCAAATTGAGTAAACTCTATCATCTTGTTTAAAAATTGTCTGATTGAACCACATTTTGCTTGGAACATCAAACGTTTTCATCTTCGTCTTCTTCATCTGATTAAATTGCAACACGCGGAGAAATTCGTCCTATCAGGAATCAGTATCATAAAGTAAGCTCAACAGTCTGGGTGTTCTTTGGTTACATAGCTTCACTGACCTTAAAAATACTGCTGATGCGTTCAAATTAAATCTGATTCTAAAAAGTCAGCTATGAAAAAATATCTGTTTTATACTAAGGGGAAAGATAATTAACTGACATTTAAGTGAGATAACCCATTAATGCGATCTTGTAATACAGATTCCTGACAAGAGTTTAAAGTTCTTCACAAAACCACAACTTTTCAAGTTGTGGTTTTGCTGGAGTTTAGCTGGAATGGAGACATTCAGATTGCTGATCAAGTTCCATAGCTGTAAACAAAAACCTTAGGCATGTATGTGGGTTAAAGACTGCAATAAAGCTGCTGTGCTTTGTCCTTTAGTTTCAGTTTCATTTTATCAGGAGTGTTGATAGAAACCTGTCATTGATAAGAAGAGCAAATAAAGCAGAGGATTACCGAGTTCAGCGTTGTCTTTTTGTGCGATAACTGTCTTCACTCACTATCCTTGGTCCTCTTGACAGCTACGACTGCCCTGAGTGTGAGGAAGACCAAATTTCATCCTGAGAGTCCGAGTCCTCCAATTGAAAATCCTCTTTCTCAGCTCTCTCAGTGTTGCCTCTGGCACATGAAGTGACTCCGTTGATGTTGTTCAGAGGGACGTACGAATAATCCTTGCGCTCGGGAAAGTGAGATGCCACTGAAACGGCACGGCAGGCCTGTACGAGGTGAACCAGCAGGCTGGCTGAGAGGACAGTAGCCAGGGTGAGGGTGATGATCAGCCACGTTCGCCTGAGGAGTGGAGGAGGTTAGATCATTTCAATGATGAATCCAGAAGCCACATGTATCAGTACAAAGCACTCACTGGCTCACTGTAATGAGAGCAAGCAAGGTTTCCTTACAGTGTGCCTTCATTTTAAAACTGGATTTTACTGAGTGACTGAGTTCAATTATGTCCACAGCTGTAGTTGTACTTGTGCAGTTTCTCCTTCTCCTACAACTTTAAACACCTTTTCATACAGGAACTGACCCACTTATGTGGCAGGGATAATATAAAGTTGTGGGAAATATGTGCATGTTTTTTTTAAACATCAAATGTTTTGATTTTACGTTCCACTTTTATAGTATTTTATAGTGAACCGCTAACAGTCCTACAGTAGCAAGATTTACTGCTGCAGGGAGATTTAATGCCCAAAGTGACGATGGAAACAATGTAGCTGATGGACATCAGTTGAGAAAACTATATTTAGACTATTTTAAAACATTTACTATATGTAAAGAAAATGTTACGGGTATGCTAAAAAGAAAAAGAGCCATTAAAAAATTACTAATTGGATTATAAGTGTTGGTAAAAACCAAATCAGTTGCTAAAATAGCTGCTTTAGGGTTAAAGTGTATTTTTCCAATGTATCTAATTCCTTAACTAATTTGTTAGCCTTCTGTTTATGTAGAATATGTAGAATATAGTGTAATACATTTATCATTTCCTGAAGCACCTACTTATATCTTTATTACTTGTTTTATTCACCCAAGAGTCCAAACATTTTAGGAACTATTGTATATTACAAAATGCGTGCCCATTAAATGTCTGGTGACCAATCAAAACAAAAAACAAATGTCTAACCATTTCAGCTCCAGTGAATTTTACAAAAGAACTATGTGTGTCAGTTCTGTGTAAATAGGATTTGTACTTCAATCGCACTACAGCAACATTTTCCTTGCATGAAGTCTTTGTTATGCAAACTTATATATACACATTAAAAAGCCTATAAGACTGTGGACACCTGTATACTTGGCTAGTGTTGAGACAACGCTGGTCTCTGCGATTCTTTTGGTCCTGGTAGAGATCACGCTGAGATGTTTCCATGTTTTACACAATCCTTTTATTACCCATTATTCTTACAGATGCATCTGGAGATCAGCACACTGCATTCCTACTATGCAGTCCTATGCTAAAGGCTGATCTAAAGAACTCCACACAACAGTTACAGTTATAACCCTCTGGTCTCCTCCCCCTACAGTAAACACCCCCACAATGGAAATACACTAGTACAGTGGCCAAGGGTGCTGACACCCTGACCCCCACCTCCTTTTAAGGTAGTGTCCGTTTGCCCTTTGTCTGCCCCTCACCCTCAGTAACTCTTGTTTCATGCCCTGGGGGTGGGGGTTGATTGTCCTCCTGCCCTGCACCTCAGTTCTTTGTTCCCATCCCAGGCCTATTTTCTATTTTGTATCCTTACACCCATTACCACAATATTATAATGTTGCAAGCAATCACAACTATATTCTCTTTAACGTTGATGTACATTAAGGAATCTATTCTCAATACTAGCGGTCCTTTTGAAAAAAGAAGGGGGTGGGGGGGCAGTTAAACTTATGTGGAAACCTGGTTGTAACCTGGCTGCAAATGTGCAATGGATGTAAATAAATTGTCATGACAATCAACTACTAAAGCTAACACGGTGCAGTGCCTCACTACTAATACATTGTATGAACAGTCTGCTTTTATTACAGTGGCTTTGCTCACTGGTTTGCAAAAACCCTTTGTGAAAGTAAACTCAGTCCCTTTATTCACTTAAAACTGAAAAATAAGCATTTTGTATTTGCACATAAAAAGACGTTAAGTGCAAATACAAATACTTTTCCTTGTCTGATAGTAAGTAGTGAGAGGAAAAAGCAACAAGCCGTGAGAAGAAGTCTGAGACATTTCTCACATGTGGCACACAACATGAGATAGTCTGCTAAGGGTTTCTTCTGACCACTAGAAACTTTCTGTCAGTACTGAGGCAGTTGCCTGGAGGAAGCTGCGTGCAGGACGACTGCTCACTTGCTTTAAAACGCTACTTTCAGCTGCCTTCTTATTCACAAAGAGGTCATCATAATGTGGAGCTCTGCATGTTTGAATTGGCAGACTTTTACACTATTTGTTAGAGGCAGGTTAAAAACTGTTTAATATTCAATAAGACTGTGCATGACATTTGCATATATCTAATCAGTTTAACTGCCAGACTGAAAAGTTGGTGGTATTATTGTTACCGTGGTCTTCAGTCAGTATCTCCTTCACATGCTTGTTTGGATGATAAGGGACAGAAACAGTTAAAGATAACAGAGCTCCACCTACTTTGTCGCAGCTGATCGATCCCTGCCTGAAGTGGGAGTTGGTTTTGGAAAGTTACAAGAAATGAATGCCCTGGGGGAAGGGGATTTCAACGCTGACATGCACTTTGACTACTGCTGAATATAACAAATTGGAACGTGTCCAATTTTTTAACAAATAAGGTTTAAAGGGATTAGTTCTTTTTAAACGTGTCCTTTCCTACATAAGTGACCAAACATTAGAAACCATAGCAACAACTAACAATCCCTCACTTCCATGTGAAAGATAATGAGGCCAGTGAATGCATCCCACCCCCAGAGTGTCTTTTACATGCCTTGTTTACATGTAAAAGAGAGAGTGTGAGAGAAAAAGCCAAATGCGGGTCTGGGCTGCTTCAGATGTTTTCTATTATTATTAAACTGAACTACAGTATTTAGAGCAGAGGAAAAAACTGGATCACTTATTAACAGGATCTGTAATTTTCTGTATTTTCTGAATACATAGCAATACCATATATACATGGAACATGGCCAAAGCTTTAGATTTCACAAACAGCTTTTTAAAAGTTCTTGGTTCTGTGTGCTGCCAGTGTGGGTGAATAAGAATTCTTGAACCTCATTCCCATTCATATTCCTTCTTATTTAACACATTAATACTACATCGAGAGCTGAAATCGATGCTAAAAATAGTATCAAAATGGCAAAATGTAACCACTTTATTTTTTAAAAGGAAGACAATTTATTGAAAAGACCTCAAGATGCACAGAAGGGTGAAAGGTGACAGGGGAGGGTGGGTTAATGTTGTGTGACCTTTGACACTTACTCTGTAAAATAAGGCCGCTCTCTGTAAGCGTCTTCTTCTCGCCTCCAAGATATAAACATCTTTCTAGCCAGGCAGTGTCCAGCTATGGTGAGGTGAGGAAAAAAGAACAAGAGATAAGTAAATGACAGAGGACACTGACCGTGGCTGGTCAGTGTTTTTAATCCCATCCTGCATGAAAAGGTAATTTTCTAACCCAGACTTCAGCCACAATTACACTGGCTGCTCCACCAGTAATTGAAATCTCCACAGCCAAACCTTGGATTTCAAATTGGTGTTTTTCCAAATAGAGCAGCATGGCCTACTTTTATATCAGCTCTGTATGAAATTTAACCTACAGGCTGTCACCATTAAAGGGATACTGGAGTAGTTATTAGCAGCTCAGGTTTCCAGCGCAGTTATAGATATTCAGACTATCACTGATGTAGTTGGACATGTAAATCAGTAATCAGAAACAAAGGCAAGAAATCAAAGATAATTATATGCAAGTCACACTAAATTTTGCCAACTTGTTACTCTTAGAAAAAGTATTTCTGAATTAAGTCTCCCACTCCTGTGCACCTCTGGGGAGAGGTTTATGTTTCTGTGTTGGCTTTGTGCACACGATGCCTGCTACAGACCTCATCTCCTAAGTTATTGTTGGATAAAATATTGCATCGACCAATGAGTTAAACTGCTTAGAGAGACATATTTGAATATTAATTTACTATGTCTTTAACACTGATATCATAAGTCAACTTTGGAAAATGTTAACAGAATCAGGTGAAGACAGTATTTAAAGCTTCACGTTCTCCCATGTAGCACACAGATTTAGATGTGTTGTCACGAGACTGAAAACACTGGAGGGATGGATAGTTAGAGCATGCAGTTAGGAAGGTAGGAAGGCCATTTGGTAGATATGAATCGTAGGTTTGTGGTTTGAACTGATACAGTGGTATCCGAGATAATTTTTTCTGTTTTTGTTGTTTCTATTCAGAAGCAGTAAAAAACATCAGATAATTGTGGAATTTCTCTTATTTTCACAAGTCTATTTATATCATGATGTAAGTAAAATATCAGACCTGTCAGGCCACATAAACAGTGCTTTAGGTCACAAAAAAATGGCGTTCCTGAAAACTCGTTATAGGGTCAAGATTTTCAGAAACTTGTTCTGCAAAGACATCATGCAACATCAAAGGTGTGTGGCTTTATCACATTTTTATGCGTTGCTTTTGTGCAATGGTGGACGTAGAAAAAATACTTTTTCTGTTAACGATATTATCTGCATTTTTTTAAGAATGCGGACACATGCGCACAAATGCAAATGCAAGACTCGCTTCTTCCTCTATGCACCGTCTTTTGTTTATATAATAACTTCCTGCCCCAGGCGTCTGATTGGCCAGGATTTCTATACAGTTATGGTCATATTACCATCTGTTGCTGCTATGGTTTGCTCTTCACAGCCCTTGACACTGTGTTTTAATATGTTCGTGTGGGTGGAAATATTTTTCAAAACGGTGCTTGAGAGGATAGGATTTAAGGAAAAAAAGGAAAGCTGAAAACCCCCCACAAAAAAACAACACCAATGATAATGATAACATTAAAGGGTATAATGTAATACAAGTAGAGAGCAAAGTGGAATTAAAGCCTCTTTCAAATAAACAATGATTGAACATTACTAACTTTTATGAGGATATTCACTGTACTAGTTTTGGCTACATGTACCTAATATTCTGAAAACACATTGTAGAGCAGAAAGACATAACCGTATGAGTTACAGTGGAAAGTTTTGAGAGCTGACATGCAGGTGAGTAACATTTCCAGTCCTCCCAGATGAGCTGACACGGTGCTCCTCTGTTTAGACAGACGGCAACAAAGACAGAGCTGCTTCTACATCTGCTCTCTGCAAATATTGAATCATTTGCTCATGTGAGAATATGCACACTTCAACACAATGATAAACACCATCTCTGCCTTTTCTCCTCAGGCACACACATACTGAAGCTGATTTACATAGTGTCACATTACTTTAGTGTCTCCTCTCACACTGACTGTTTTTCTCACACATATTCTCTCACTTTCTTACACTATGTTCACTGTGTGAGTATCTCACCCTACTTTAAGGAGATGTGATAGAGAATGACTGAATCAACAAATGGAAATTTATTTGAAACAAAGTAACCAGCTGTAGGGACTGACAGCTAATGACAGTTAATGTGTACATGTGTAGTGCTTATGGGCAGCAGGCAAATCAGTATTTAATATCTGCTCAGCTGTTTAACAGGAAAAAAAAAAAGAAAAAAAGAAGACAAATGTAAATGAGAAACACCACAGTGGGACTTCAGTTGCACTGAAACACAGTACAGATGACCACATTTTGAAATGTGATACAGTGAAACAGCAAAGTATGTTAAACAAAAGATTTGGTCTCCAACCCTGTGGAACCACATGCTTTAAAAGGTTGCTACTTGCTGTGATTCGGTCAGAAGGCATCTATTAAATAATACTTTAGTTCATCTTTCTCCTCTCTTGTATGCTGGCTGTGAATTTTGCCCAAAAGAAAGCAGGCAAAGGAGATGAAACTGAGTTATTTGCATCTTGTTTCACTTCAAATTCTCTACAAAAACAACCATAAATGTTCCTGCTTTCACAACTCGCAACATAATTAATAATTAGTTATGGTGTAACGAACAGGCTAGGGATGAGGGAAAAGGAAGGAACAGAGGCACTGTGCATAGAAAAAAAAATTCAAACTGTTCATTCACGTGAAAACCCCTGCAGCTAATCACCAGCTGGATGAGAGCTTAAGGACAGGCTTTCGTTCATCTCTTTACCGCTACCATCAACCACCATATGACCCTGTGTGTACAAGCAGTATGTGTGCCTATATATGGGTCTGCACAGGAGTTATTGCAGTTTTGTAACAACTTTGTGTGAATTCTTTTTATTTCAAGCAGTTCTTTTCAGTTTACTTTATTTTCAGTCTGATGGTAAAGTTCAGGTAGAAGATATCACAATAGAAACACTTTTAAAATCAAATTGCCTCACAGTTGTGTAGACATCTCAAATCTAAATAAACGTATGGAAAAAAAATTGTTTCCACTCCAGGCTTTATGTAGCTTTAAAAAAAAAAAAATTACCTTGGTTAACTTTAATAACCTTGGTCTGTACCTGTGTGTAAGGTGTAGTTGGTGCCTCCTGGCAGTGTGGTGTTGCAGCTTCCTGTTTGTGGGTCACATGGACACCGATCCTCACATTGACACTCATGAGCACAGGACAGACCGTAGAAACCCAGAGGACACACTGAAAGAAAGAGAAAAAAATGAAGTGAATTTACATTTTTTAATATTTAAATAAAGAACAAACAAATTTAGCAAACTAAATGGTTCATTTTGTGACTGAAATGGTCGTCAAGTTGGTTTTTCTCTGTTTCTGTTCAATCAAGTTTAATCGTCGGATCTTTTAAATAAGTTCTGAAAAGTTTTAATACCCGTTTCATTTTTACAGCCAAAATAAAAGCATGAATGAAAACAAAAAGTTTATTGAGTGACTTCACTCAGACTTTTTTTGTGATACACCTGTTCAACTGCTCATTAATACAGATATATAGTCAGCCAATCACATGGCAGCCTCTCAGTCCATTTAGACATGTAGACATGGTCACAACAAGCTGCTGAAGTTGAGTATAAAACTGAGTATAAGAGTAGGGAAAAAGGCAGTTTGGTGCCACACTGGTGGATTTGCATATTTCAGAAAGAGCAGATCTGCTGGGATTTTCCCCACACAAACATATGGTTGTCTGCTTTACAGAGACTGTTCTGAATATGAGAAAATATCCAGTTAGCAGTAGGGCTGGGCCATACCATACTGTTCAAGGTAATACCGGTATAATGTTGAGCAACGATAAGAAAATGAAATATCGCGATAGAATATGGGTAAAACACGCATGCGCAGTGCCTTTGTTTTCATACTCACATGGCGGAGAATGAGAAGGACGAAAGCGGATCGTGAATGAAACGGATGAACCAGAATTGGTTTGTAAAAATGTTGCAACTTCAGTGGTGTGGAACTGGTTTGGCTTTCGTCTGTCAGAAAGCTAAACAAAGCACTATTTTTGGTAGCGCGTGCTAG